TCCCTGAAATCTTCCTCAGTTGGTTCTTCACACGTGGTGAATATACTTGAATATTTGCTACTGCGTTCAATCATTGACTCGTGTGTATTTTTACCAGGGAGCTGCCAGGAAAAATTCTGGGTGAAGAAGTGTTCATGTTCTTCTGTTGTAAATGTTGGGTGAGAAGTTTAAAGTTTGACAGCTGAGATCACACTTTATTCCCTTTGGATCAGTCATTGATGGTGACGAGCTCAGAGTGAATAAAACATTAAACATCTCATCAGCTTATGTCCTGAAACATCAACATGACTTTGTTTTTTAACATGATTCTGATCTTCTCCCTCCTCTCTCCTCTTCTTCCTCCCCTTTTTTTCTCCAACCTCCTCTTCCTCCCTCATTTTCCCCCCCTTCTTCTCCTTGAGCAGTCTAAAGGACATAAAGCTGACGGCCCCCTCTGGTGAGTCTTTGTTGTCTCTATTTTTTACAAGTTTGCTTAATTTTTTGATTTTATTAAACTTTATAAACTCTGTCTCTCCTTTTATTCATTATCTCCTTCCCTCCTGTCTTTCTACCCTCCCTGTCTCCTTTCCTTCTCTACTCCCCATCTTTCCTGTCCTTTTTCCCCCCTTCCTCTTCTCCACTTACAGAAGCGTAAATCTTCGTCTTTGTTGGACGCTCGGATGGCGAAGATTTACAGACGACAGAGACACAGCCGAGACGGAGATGACTCTGCCAGTGATGATGAGGATGAAGGTCAGTGTCTTGATGAAGCTCACAGGATGCCTTCTGTAAATGCTTGATAATTAAAGCAGAGTAAATTAAAAACTTAAACTCCTAAGTCTGACTGTGATCCCTCCTTCTGCGTCCCCAGGCTCTCAGAGGAGGAAGATGGCGCTCCACGCTCGAGGGGCGGTCCACTCTACCAGGAGGGGCTTCAATGCTAACAGGAGGGGCTTGCTGAGAGGAGGCTCTGCCCACAGAGGGAGTAGAGGCGGGGTCATGCCTGCTGGGTCCTCTGCATTCAAACTGAAGCGAGGGGTGGGTGTGAGAGAGGCAGGGCGGAGGGGGAGGGGCGTGAGGCTGCGGGGGGGTCCAGGATGCAACGACGAGGAGATGAGTCAGATGAGTCGGACGATGATGAAGACGACGATGATGATGAGGAGGATGATGAAGAGGAGGAGGAGGAGGAGGAGGACAGTGAGCATGAAGGGAAAGAACATCGTCATCATCACCGACGAAGAAGGAGAAGAGCTGATGATGACGAGGAGGATGACAGCGATGGAGGAGACTTTGACCCTGATGAGGATGAGCTAGACACTCTGGAAGATGAGGAGGATGAGGAGGAGGAGGAGGGGCGCTGGGATTCAGACCCTGAGCCTCCAGTCCTCCTGGTGTCAGACCTGAGTGACGACCTGCTGAGCGGCTCATACCTGACTGTGACTCTACAGCACCCCCAAAAGGCCCGCACGCACAGTGGTCAGTGTTGACATATAATGACATATTGTTTGTAAGCTCCTTAACACCTCACAGGCTGCCATGTGTATATGTGACAGAGAATATTCTGTTTATACGTGTGTATAACACGTGTGCAACATGTTTATAACTATAAGTGTTTAAACATGTGAATAACATGTATTTGAAGATGCTAATGACGGGTTAAAAAAATGTCTTTAATGACTTTAAACATGTTTAAAACACTTATTTAAGTGTGTTTATAACATTGAAAAGATGTTAAAACATGTATTTAAACTAGAGCTGTCAAAGGATAAACATTTTAATTACGATTACCGTAATCGCAAAATGTCAATAGTTATTATTTATATTTTTAATTGCGTTCTTTAAATTCCATTATTTCGTGCTAAAAAAATTAATTGTCAGGCTTTTGTTTAGAATTTTTGAACTGTCTGAAGCTGAGGGTACTTTACTTGCTGTTTGAATTTAACCATGCTTCTCTTATTGTGAAATTAAGGAAGGATGTTCTGGTAGATCAAAGGTTCAACATTAACTTAACCACGGTCAAAGAAACTCTTAACTGATCAAAAACGGCTCAAAGGAACGGTAAAAAATCATTTAAAGATGCAGCAGTGTCCTTTTCCATCACTGTGACTACAGGGAGGCTTATCCACAGTGGGCCTAAAGGCACAAAATAGCATGCGATTAATCACGATTAAAAAAACGAAATGCATTCATTTCCAACCTTAATTAATTGTGATGAACTAGTTAATGCTGACAGCCCTTTTTTAAACATGTTTATAACCCATGAATAAGCAATGTGACTTAATTAAATCCTCACTCTGTAGCTGGAAAGTGAAGTCTCTGCCCTGTGTGTGTTCAGGCTCCATCGTTCCAAAGCTGGAGGCAGCTGTGGCTCAGAGGTCAGCAGGGGGCGCTGCAGGCCAGCAGGCCTTTATCCAGAGGAAGACTCTGTCCAAACCCTCCCGACCCAAGAGCTGTGACATCACTGAGAGCGCCACACCTCGAGGACCGGGCAGGTATCGAACAGAATACTACTAAATATAACGTTACCTAACCCTGCTGAGAGAGCAGCTGTGTTTAGTCAAGACAATCTTTATACGGGGGCTCTGTTCTCAGTCAGACCTCAAAATAAAGATTTAATTTAACACCATGTGTGCTCTGTGTGTGTGATGTCATAGGCCTCGTCTGCGGGGTAACCATGGCACCAGAGGCGCCAGAGACGGCTCGGGGTCTTCATCAGAGGAAGAGGACGGTCCCCGCCCCTCCTCCTCCCTGTCTCCCCCCTCCCTGCTGTCGCTCCCCTCCTTCAAAGACGTAGGAAACGAGGTGGGAGGAGAGAAGGAAGTGTGGGTGTCAGTGTTCAGGTTCCTGGACAGAGCCGAGCTGCTGAACTGTATGACTGTGTGCAAGGCCTGGTACAAGTGGTAAGATACACTGAACACATAGCGCACACACACACCAGATATTTTTGCACTCCTCTATTAATGTCCTGTTAAGATATATGAAGTACAGTAATGCAACCCCAAACTCCTGTAGAAGAATACATATTGAACTCTCCATCAGTGTGAGCCCTTAACCTGTTTCTCATGTCTTTGTTTTTTATCCTGTGTGTGTATCTCAGGAGCTGTGATAAGCGTCTGTGGTCTCATGTGGATGTCAGTCGGTGTAGTCCTCTCTCTAATCAGTCTCTGGCTGGAATCATCAAACGTCAGCCGTCCTCTCTAGACCTGTCCTGGACCCCGCTAGCCAAGAGACAGCTCACCTGTCTGCTCAGTAGGCTGCCAGGTACACGCACACAAAGCCCCCTCCCTGCTCCACTCATGTCATTGTCTGTGATAATACAGGATTGTAATTGGCCGAAGGCTGTCAATAAATCCTGATTATATATTCATCTTCTTTGTGGTGAGTCTTAGTTTAACAGTAAATGGGGGGTTTCACTCTGGATTACTTAAGTGATATGTCCCGAAAAAGAAACTGCTTCTCTTGTGAATTACTCAAATTATTGGGTTTTAGGTTTGCTGGAATAACAACATCAGGATGCGGATTTGTGAAAAGTTAAGCTTTGTCAGGTCTGTAGGGAAGATGACAAATTTAAACTTTCCCTCGGTGTAAATCATCAATGTAGAACCGAATGTTAGCTGCTCTGCAGATATCTTTTAATAGAGATAAGTAAGATAAGCACTGATGGAGTCAGGAGGTCATCACAAAGAATTGTGCTCCTGTTTTTTCTCTCCATAAAGAATACACCAAAGCCTGCCGACACCTGATTGGTCAATACTGCTTAGACTACAAACAGAGATTATTCAGTGCTAAGTGGTCTCTAAGATAATAAGACATACAGTATTTTAAGAAAAAAAAAAAGAGAGAGAGAGAGCACTGTCAACATTTTAAACATTTGTTTTAAAGAGGGTTTATTTTATTTGTGCAGGAATTTGCCTTCACTTTTGTTAATTTAAAAGAAATGCTCGATATTGGGTGTCTGGTACTCTAGTTTTTTTTGCCATGGTATTGATATTGTTTGATTATTACTAGAATCATATAGGTCTAAAATGTAATATTCTAACAACCCTACTAAGTTTGAGGTTTCAATGTCTCAACCACCTGTGTGTTTGTGTTGGTCTCTCTCCGTCTCTGTTCCTCTCTTTCTCTATCGGTCTCTCTCTCAGGTCTGAGGGAGCTGAGGGTTACCGGTCTGTCCTGGTCCTGTTTGTCTGCGCTGGCGTCTCCCTCTCTTCCCTGTCTTCGTCTGCTCGACCTGCGTTGGTGTGAAGGAATCAGAGACGCTCAGATCAAAGAGATCATCATCCCCCCAGGTCAGAACCACACACACACACACACACACACATGCATACACTGAAGTCGTTTTTCATGTTACCTAGGGCGGTCAGCGTGTTCAAAAACTGAGAGTTTGTAGCTGCTGCTTCTTCTTCTTTTTGAACTCTTATCATTTGATTTTAGAAAGTCAGTCGTTGACCTCATATTAACCCCTTGTGTCCGCCCTCAGACTCCGAGTCAACCCGCAGCAGGCTGAGGAACATGGGGACTCTGCATTTGTCAGGTCTGGAGGTGAGCGACTCGTCCCTCAGGTTGCTGCAGAGACACATGCCTCAGCTGCAGAGACTCGACCTGTCTCACTGTAAGGACATCAGTGACTCGTCAATCGCTCTGCTCACTGCTGCAGGGACACACACCAGACACAACCTGACCGAACTCTACCTAGCAGGTGAGACAACACAAGTAGCACACTCAGCTGTCTTCAACCTGCATTCTGTCAAATGTCCAGCAGGGAGCGATTCCTCTGGTTTATTAATAATGAATTTAGTCCTCTCAGTAACACAGCAGCAGATCAGACATGATCAGCCTGATGTGATGACTGACCATCAACTTCTCATATCTCTGCACACTGCTGACTGTCCGTGTCTCTCTCTCCCTGTCTCAGGCTGCAGTGAGCTGACAGACACTTGTCTGTCTTACCTTAAGCGTCTGTCCTGTCTGTCTTTGTTGGACCTGCGTGGATGTTCAGGTGTGAGCAGAAGAGCGTGTGACGCCTTCATCTCTGATCTGTCCCATGTCGCCCACTACTGCATGATGGAGGAGAAGCTAATCCAGCGCATGGACTGATGCACACAAATACACACTGAGACTTTGAACAGAGAGCTAGGCTACAAACATGAACATTGCAGTGTTTTTTTTCTCTTCCTGTTTTCACTGATGATCAGACTGTGTTTGATGGTTTCTCTTGTTTTGTACATTCGTTTTCAATCACTGTGAAATAAATAAAGTGAATTGTTTCATTGTTGAACTCTGTGTTTGCTGTTTTGTTTCTCAGGAGTTAAGGAGTTTCATGACCCCCCCCCCCCCAAATTTTGACTGAACAAGTGTAACACTTTTTTTGTAAGCCATGGGAGATGCTCCGTACATACAAGTTCCACACTTTTACCCGCACAAACTTAATACAGTGGTATCATACAGATGTTAAAAGAATGATTATGAGAATCTAATGTTTTTTCTCCCTTTGTCATGGCCTTTGAACCGGTCATGACAACTGCTGTGTATTAACCTGTGATTTCACCTTTAGTTAAAGTCACCACGTCTCCAGCAGAGCTCAGAGATTGGATTGAAGATGAGGTCGGCTCACTAATTGAGACCCTAAATCATATAGGGGAACGTGTTTAAAAAATATACTTTTATAAAATCATTTTAAATTCACCTAACAAAAATATTCATGTTCAGTGTTTTTATCATAAAACAAGAATCCATCCCCTGCTGTCGTCACGGTTACCTCGGACAGTTTGACTTTAATTTTCTAATTATATAAATAATGTACTAATATTGTTCTCTCATGATATGAAACAGGTGATAACACTTTATAGCACTTTAAACAGCTGAGAGAAACAAACATGCTGATGTCACTGAGTCAGACATTTCAGGTGAGTGTGATTCTGCTTGTCGCTTCCTTTATTTTTATAGTGCAGATTTTAGAGAGACAGGAAATATGGTGTCCACTGACAGCAGAGTTTCTGTTTGTGTGAAATGTTCTAATCTGTGCAAATAATTACAACAGAATCCACAGTTTCACCTTTTATTACAAAGATTTTGTTAAACAAGAAACACAAACGGTGTGTGTGCGCGTGCGTGCGTGTCTAGGTGGATCAGTAGCTCCTGGTGGCCTCGTATGATTCTGGGAAGGGGAGGCTGATGTGACCGCTGCCAGCCACTAAGGGAAGGATTCCTGCGTTTGGGACAACGTTCCAGGACAGAGACAGAGTGATATTCTTGTTGGCCCTGCAGGAGAGACAGACACAACCGTCAGCCAATCAGAGAGCAGATAACATTCAACCTGCAAAAACTGAGAGACAACGGGTGCGTTCGAATTGTCCCTCCTATCTCCTTTCACTATCCACTTCACCTTAACCCCGTGAAAACGTCATGAGGTTAAAGAAAGATGTTAGGAGAATTCATAAAGGACTTAGGGAAAGGCGATCTCGTTGCTCTGACAATCCGACCGCATTTTCCACTAGGCCACGTCACTAAATGTGACGGGCCGGCGGAGGTTAATGACGTGGGTCTGACGTGTTGAAACTACAATGTTCCGAAAATGGACTACAAAAAACGCATCTAAAAAACTTTCCCCTGTGCCTTCTTACCGGTGAAATAATCCTAATTACCACGAGGTTGGGATTGAAATAAAAGAAATATAGACTACCAGTGAAACCATCACCTTCCTGTCCACTCAAATCAACATAAATATGATTGTATGAAATGAAATGTTACATTTATGCAAAATATAGCCTACACATAATGTTTTATGCATACACATGTACAACTGCACAAAGGATTCTTAAGAGAATGAAATATGTTGAATAAAACATCATCTGGATAAAAATGTGACTTATCTTTTTATCCCTTACATGATCTGTGTCACTTTACGATCATCGTTCATTTCCGTGAACAGTCGGATGCGCGACTCGCTTTAAATGTTGCGGCCGCAAGGAATTGTGAGGCGGCATATCTCATCTCCTCTCATAAAGGATGGTCCAGTGTATCCTATGCCAAAGGAGGTTATAAAGGAAGCATTGACCCACCTTTCCTTAACTTTTAGAGAATTCGAACGGCTCTTATCATGGCCGCCACTTAAATGCTTCTGGGGTTAAGGTAAAGTGGATAGTGAAAGGAGATAGGAGGGACAATTCGAACGCACCCAACCTTCAGATCTGAGAAAATCAAGAAAACACCCAAAAAGGTGAGAAGACTGAAAACAACTAAATCAGAGAGGTCCTTTTACCTGGTCCTTTAACAGTAGTGTGTGTGTGTGTGTGTGTGTGTGCGTGCGTGTGTGTGCGTGTGTGTGCGTGTGTGTGCGTGTGTGTGTCTGACCTCAGTCCATTGCCGTCATCGAAGAAGAAGTATTTGGACTTCGTGTCTCTGAGGTTCAGTTTGGTGTTTTCACCTCGAAGGACGATTTTATCCCAAAGAACCACCTGGTTCAGAGCCTGAAAGCACACACAGTTTATTATCACTGTCAGTATCTATGTGATGATCAGGAGGGGTGACCCCATATAGCCCAATCTTCAACGATTTGTTTGAAAGAGCCTCAGTCGACTGACAGTCTCACAGTCGAGCACAAGGATTATTCCATTCCAGCCTTGTGGGGGTGTTTACTTTACTGTGATTTGTCTGTTTTCCCCAACAAGTAACAGCTTATCTTAATACCAATTTATTAATTCTGAAAATGATTTGAATCAATCTCCATAATTATGCAAGAATATCAAAGTGTTCAAAATTTCATTGGCTACAAGAAACGTCAGTCTAGCACAGTCACATGCATTTGGCCAGAATAGAACAGGGGACGGCACCTCCTTCCAACTCAGGCTCTCATTGGCTGTTATAGGCTGGGAACAGTGAAAGGAAGGTCATAATCAGCCATGTAATATATCAATCAAAAGTTTAGAGTGGGGGCACTGGTGGAGTAGTGGTTAGTGCGTGCACCCCATGTATGGAGGCTATAGTCCTCCAAGCGCAAAGCCCAGATATCGCGGTCAGATACAAAACATTCATTAAAACACATGATTACAGAGTGGGCTGTCAGTGTGTGTGTGTGTGTGTGTGTGCCTGCTGTTTTGTAGATGGACAAGTGTAATATTGTTATAAGGTCACCATAACACAGACTAAAGTGAGAAAAGGGATGGAGCAAGTCCTATCATAGAATAAATTGTTATGCCAAGTCTAGAAGTCAAATAGTCTAATCATGTGCTTTAAGTGTATGTTGCAAATGAGAATATGGAAGTAGAGCAGAAATAAATAAAAAGAAACACTTGATGATCAGTCGATCATCAAGATCATCAAACGCTGAATACTCATGTCGATCTGTTCACTCCTAGAACTGAGAATTTTGCATAGATGACACACTGAGAAAACATCTTTCATAAATGTGGTGTGTGTGTGTGTGTGTGTGTGTGTGTGTGTGTGTGTCTTACGTTGCTCTTGGTGGCGTACTCTGCTGACATGTAGAGAAACAGCTGTTTGACATTCCAGTCAAAGATGGGCTGCAGATGTGGAAACAGTTAAAGAAATAACTGTGTGTACGGACCAGAGTTACAAAAACATAAAACTATGAAATCATCATTATTTGATTAATTAAAGGCTTTGAGTGATTGAGTATTCTGTGAGCATGAAAACTCAGCAGATATCATTAAATATCATTAATATAACTAAATATAAACAGATCACAGCAGTTCTTAAATATCATTAGATCTAAGTAGATCTCACATTTTAACAGGTGTTAGGTGTGTTTATAAAGGATATCGGCTGAGAGGTCAAAGGTGATGAAGCCCAGGTCACTGCGCTCTCTGGGACCTGTGAAGTCGTCCACGTTCTTCCTGTGAGGACAAGAAGACACATAAAGACATGTGAGTACACACAGAGACAAGAGGACAGGTGAGGACACGTGAGTACACACAGAGACAAGAGGACAGGTGAAGACCCGTGAGTACACACAGAGACAAGAGGACAGGTGAGGACCCGTGAGTACACACAGAGACAAGAGGACAGGTGAGGACACGTGAAGACACACAGAGACAAGAGGACAGGTGAAGACCCGTGAGTACACACAGAGACAAGAGGACAGGTGAGGACATGTGAGTACACACAGAGACAAGAGGACAGGTGAGGACACGTGAAGACACACAGAGACAAGAGGACAGGTGAAGACCCGTGAGTACACACAGAGACAAGAGGACAGGTGAGGACATGTGAGTACACACAGAGACAAGAGGACAGGTGAAGACCCGTGAGTGCACACAGAGACAAGAGGACAGGTGAGGACACGTGAGTGCACACAGAGACAAGAGGACAGGTGAGGACCCGTGAGTACACACAGAGACAAGAGGACAGGTGAGGACACGTGAGTACACACAGAGACAAGAGGACAGGTGAGGACACATGAAGACACACAGAGACAAGAGGACAGGTGAGGACACGTGAGTACACACAGAGACAAGAGGACAGGTGAGGACACATGAAGACACACAGAGACAAAAGGACATGTTTTGTAGCTGTAAGCTAGCTTGAATGTTTATACTGAATGTTATTATACTTAATCCTAGCGTTATCCTACCATTTATTTAGTTAATTGCACTTAAATACGATATAAAATGCACGGTATAACACTCATTATACAGACAGGTGTAACACAGGTATAACACTCATTATACAGACAGGTGTAACACAGGTATAACACAGGTATAACACTCATTATACAGACAGGTGTAACACAGGTATAACACTCATTATACAGACAGGTGTAACACAGGGTTGTGAGCGGATGTTAGCAGCTGTTGGACCGGTGTGATGCCTGCCTGCCTGCCTGCCTGCCTGCCTGCCTGCCTGCATGCACATCGCAGGACTATGCAAAAACATTGCAGACACCATTTCTTTACTGCCGATTTTAGCATCCACCCTTAAAATACTATATTGCAGGATTTTGCATCCACCCTTCAATTTCCTCTACAGACATTTCAGTCAAACGCTGTTTGCAGACTAATGAAAATGCGTCTTCTATCGTGTCTACAGAATAATAAGGACACTTAACTTTATTAAGTATACACTTCACATATTTTATCATTGCAGATTTGTCGCCAGGAATAAGATTTATACCGATGTCTGACACTTCCGCGAGGTGCAGTAATTAGCAGGGATGCATTTCTCGACATAACACCGGCAGTCTACGGGTTTCCATATGCTCATATTCTCTCTTTGTTATAGTAACTTTTAAAATAGCGTTAGTATTCAGTGTGATAAAGA